TCACATCTCTCTGAACCTCAGTCTCTTTGTCTATAAAATGGGGATTAGACTGGTACCAAGCTCCAGATGTCTGGAAAATGACATGAGTTACTGAATGTAAAACACATGGGATGGACCTGGCATATAGTAAGTTCTCTGTTACTGTTAGCTACTACAATTATTCTCTGTTACTATTAGCTACTACAATTATTCTCTGTTACTGTTAACAACTACAATTATGCATACTCAGTTGTCCCCAAAATGCATTTTGCACACTGATCAAAACTTGGGAGTACACATCTTGTGAGGCTCTTGGCATTGCTGCTGAGGTCTTCTGCCCCAAATAGATATGTGATATTTCGAAGCAGACATCTAGTTTGTTGTCAAACTTAAAAGTGCGTATGAATCACCTGGGGATGTTGGTAAAATGCAGTTTCTGATTCAGGAAGTCTGGGGTGTGGTTAAAAATTTTGTGATTCTGACAAGCTGGCCCAGGACCAGCATGAGTAACAATGTTCAAAAGTGTGCATGGCAGTAACATCATAAGAATCTCAGTTAATAAGAAATGCCAGTTTAAACAAATTCATTCAAGAGATCTAGCTTGGGAATCCTCAGCCTCTTACAAAGGCACCAAGGGTCATTTGCGGGGATGTATTAGTGATAGCTTCAGTTTTGAGTGAAAAAGTTTCAAACTAACTGTGGCTTGATCAAGATAAAAATGAACTTATTTTTCTCTTATGGAAAAATCAAGCTAGTAAGGAGACTTTGTTCAGACCCAGGTTTCTTCCAGCTGATTGTTCCATCACACATCTCTAGGTTGTTGCCTTCATCTGCATGTCTAAGACATCCTCTCATCCACAGTCCAAACAGCAGGATGCATGGAAGGAAGCACCAGATGTCTACCTTTAAAAGACACAACCTCCTAGTTGTACTGACGACTTGCTTTCACATTCCACTTGCTAGAACATAGTCATGTGGGTACACAAGCTGGGAGTCGTTTTCATTCTGAGTGGCTGTGAAGTCCTAACAGTATGGGAGAAAGCAAAAATAGATTTGGGTGAAAACTACCAGTCTCTGCCATATGGGATAAAAAGAAGGACACTGCTCTCAAAAGGAAACTGGTTTTACCTTTCCCACAGATATATCATTCCATCTTCCATTAACTCATAATTGTCTTAAATTTCTTTTTATGTCCACATCTGTACCACAAAGAGTTTCTAACTGGTGTGAAAGGTTCCCCAAAGAGTAACCAGTTTAAGTTCACTGATATAAACAACTACCGATAGAGATTTACTTTTTAAGGAGAGGATACATTCAAATGTTGACTTTTGAGTGATGAGATTTAGATAATTTTTACTTTTTAAAATAAGCTTTCATGTGTATTTGAGAAAATACATTATTTCCATTTTAAATAAAAAAATAAGAGGCCAGAGTAAATGTGGATGCAGTTGGGCAGGGGCTGTCAGAGGCTATTGCAAGAGGGAGATTTGATGAGGCATAAGTGCTGTCTGGAGGCAGAAGGGGCAGATGAATTGGGATATGCAGAGACACAGCATGAAAAAGCCACTGTTGACTGGGGAAGATAGAATATTATTTTTCTCTTAATCTGAATGTCTGGGCTCAATTATCTCCCTGAGATAATTAGAGGCTGTCTGTCTGTCTATTATTGTTTCAGTAGCATCGTATTTTTAATCTAGTCTTTACTTGTGGGTGAAAGGCTTTTGTTTCTGGTTTAAAGGGAAATCAGGCCTTGGAAATACTTCAGTAAGATATTTGCAGAGGTGGAAGACAGGCCTTTCTGGTGCTTCCAAAATCAAAGTCTCACTGATTCTGCCTCTCCTGATTAAGACAGGCTTTGTCAAAGCAATTAGCAAGGTGACATATCTTCTCTTTTAGATTTAGGAATAAAGCCAGAACTACCAAGATTGATCATTTCCTCCAGGCACGGGCACCTGATTCCAGCTCATGCTAGCTGATGAGCTCAAGGCTTATCAAGTAAGTTCTTCCTCAGGGGTGCCGCATGCAAAGAGGCTAGAACTGGGGAGAAAAGAAAGGACACAGATGTTCCCTAAGAATCTACCACCAGCTCAGTACTGTGCCTGGTGACCATTTTGCCTGAAGATCATGGGGAAAAGGGAATGGCAGGGGAGTCTCAGAGCTGATTAAAACCTGTGACTGTTTTTCTTTCTATTCTCATAGATGGGTTCCTGTGGCAGCCCTGTCTCTTCTGGGTGAGATTTCACATGAACATTTCAGGATACACATTATATATTAAGCCAGCAAAGCACTCCCTGAAGTTCCCACATATTTAAAAGAAGTTTGGACTTTGGTTTTCTTTGACTTTCTAAAAGTACATTTGAACATAAATGAATACTTTTAAAATGTGGTAAGTGATGTTCTCCCAGGAGTACAGTGTAGTGTGGGTGGCATGGAGTAGGCAGTGTGGGATAAGTAGTGTTTGAGGAAGCAGCAAGGGAAGGAGGACAGTGGGTGCTGGGGATCCATGCAGTGATGGAGGAAGGAGCCTTTCTGTCTGGTTCTTCAGGTACAGGTCCTTGGTTTAAGTAGAAGATGGCACACTCAGTTGCTTTTTTCTTCTCTTAACCCTCTTTATGCCTAAGAATCTCCCTTGCCAATGGGTCTCACCTTGGTAATTTCTTTAAAGTTAATTTAGTTTTCTGAAGCTCTAGTCCCCAGATGAATTTAATCTATCCTATTCAACTGTGGTTTGCTCTGGAAAGATGTCTTAGATCGATAGGAAGGACTCCTTCTTTCAGGTCCTGGCTTGGGCACATACTATAGGTACTTATAGTCAAATCACTTAATTTCTTTTGACTGCATTTTCTTCATCTTTGAAAGGAGGAAGTTGGAGTAAATGTTGAGAATCATTTCTCATCCATAACATTTTCTTCTTGACCCCTTCCCAAAGTAAAATCTCCATGGCCTCCTGATTTATAAGCGTGTATGGGGTTTCATTTTTAAATAATCTAGTAATACATCCATGGAAGTGTGATAATCTAGATATTGTTATGTAGATCTTGAACCGCAAGTTGGGAGGAAGACACCAAACTCAAAATCATAACCTAAAATCAAAACCTAAATGAAAGTGGGGCCTGGGAGCTAACCGTGGCAAAAGATGAGTGATGGCATATGCTGTCATCGTCATATTTCATTTGAAGTATAGTGAACGAGATGACAATAGACCTGTCTGGTGTTCAGTATTTCCACCTGTGATATAATGAGTTTTATATATTCATATGACCAAATATGTATTTCCTAGGTATTTTAGGTCTTCATCCACAGTTTCTGCAAACCCTGCAGAGTAAATGAGTGTTTTGTCATGTTAATGAGATTTTGGACCCCCACCCAAGGGCAGGGGCTGGAGGTTGAATCAGCAAATGGCCACTAATTTAATTAAACATGAGTATGTAATGAAGCCCTCACCAAAACCCAGGAGAGGAGCTCTGCTGTCTCTCTTCTCTGCCCTCTGCTTTGTCTGCTCTGCTCGACTGGATCCTGCTTCTTGGTTGGAGAGAGCTCTATGCTTGGGGAACCAGAAGACCTCCATGTGCCACCGAGCTAGGCTCCAAGCTTCATGAAGATAGAAGCTCCTTTACTTGGCACCTTGCCCTATGTCTTTCTTCATCTGGCTGTTAACTTGTATCCTTTATGGTATCCTTTACTAAATTGGTAAAACTATAGTGTTTTCCTGAGTCCTGTGAGCCACTCTAGCAAATTAATTGAACCTAAGTGGGAGGTCGTGGGAATCTGTAGCCAGTAGGTCAGAAGCACAGGGAACTGTCTGGGGCTTGAGACCCACATCTGGAGTAGAGGAGTGGAGGGCAGTCTTATATGGAGCCCTTAACCTGGGAATCTGGTGCTGTCTCTGGGCAGTTAGTATCAGAATTGAGTTCTCCAACATGCTGCTGGTGTTTGAGAATTGCTTGTAAGTATGTGTGGGAAGAGCCCCCTCCCACATATTTACACCCATTGGAATCAAGTCCAGATTTCTGAATGAAGTTATATTACTATTACTGCTGTGCATAATACTGTTACAGTTATACATATATATGCAGGGAAAAAATAAACCATGGCATTTGGTGTCAGAGATGTTGCACCACCTACGAGAGAATGTTTTGTTTTAATTTCTCATGATGTTCTGTGAAGGTAGCAGTTAACCTGAAATTTCAGAAAAGTTGGGTTTTAGCTTAATCATGAGAAATACAGTGTAGTGCAATAATGGAAATCATGTTAGTGTGAACATAGTTTGGAATTTGGGATTCTTGTTCAATAAGTAAGTCTTATTTTGATTTCTCAGCAGGAGGTATACACATGAGGTGATTTCCCCACCATTTGGTGAACCTTTGGAGACTCACGTTCTGTCCCTTTGGACAGCAGAGTTGGTTGAATTGCATTAAAGTCAGATCCTCTATTTAAGGGAGCTGTTCCTTATCCTCACTTGGGGCAACATAGGGAGAAGTGGGCATCTCACTGAACTATGAGGGCTTTTAAGAACAAATACATTAGGGCCTCTGAATTCCTGTTTGAATTCAATTCCTTGAATCCAGAATCCCTCTGTAACAGTGGCTTTTAAAAATCACCCAAGCCTTTTTTTTCCCAATTAAGAGGCATTACCATAAAAAAATACCCCAAATATTTCCTTCTCCTGGAAAAGTACTGTTAAAATTGGAAGAGGCAGCTTCACTAACCTATACCAGGAATCAATTTATATAACTTACACCTTTTTAGTAGTAGATAGATTCACTATCCAAACACAGGCTTAGGATAGGTAGCCTTCGACACTGTGCCATTTTGTAAATAGTTGGACCGTTATGGGACAACAGTCCCCCTGTGCTTTCTGCCCTGGTGAGCCCACTGCCATCAGGCCTGGGGATAGGTCTTAGATAAACAGAACCACACTTCTTTGGTTAACTGCATTCCCGTGCAGGTTTCTTTCCTCTGTTTTGTTTCAGTTCCACTTATTGGGATTAAGAAAAGAAGGTGCACATGCTGCTTTCAGCAACCAGACTCACTTATTTATTGGATTAAGACCATGGGAGATATCTATCTTGGAAATTGGAAACATACAATGGAATGGAAGGTGTTAGCTTTGATAAATTTGCAGGATGAGCCAAGGGTATACAGAAAATATTAATACAAACAGGTGAAATCAATCTAGCTGTGCTGAGTGGGATGACACAACATTCAAGGGACCCTGAGGAGAAAGAGCATGTAGAAAAGCTGTGTAGGGAGAGAGTGAATAGTGGCATGGTGTAGAAATGGATGGCAGTTGAAGCTAATTGGAAGTGTATTTAAGGGGTTTAAACCTAGTGTTGGGATGAAGGATGAGGGGGCATGAGGCTGAGATAGTGGCTGATAATGTGATATCACTGAAGCATGATGCCTGAAAATGCCTCTGAAACAGAGACATTCTGGATCATAAGGAAGAAAAGAACTGGAACTTGTGGAGTCTGTAAGGTGGAATGACCTCCAGGCAAGGGAGAAAAAAGAGGGTGCAGAGAGGGAAACAGGGCCAAAGGCACGGCTTTAATACATCCCAAGTTTTGTCTAGAATTCTCTCCTCTATCACATCTTCTGTCTGACCCCTATGCCCTATTCCTTTCATCTCTTCTCTACTCCCCCTCGTCAATTGCTCAGATCCCATAGAAGTAGGGCAAGTTGCCTCTACCCTATAGGACATGACTTAGAAAATGTGAGATACAGGCCCTGAAACTCTAGGGAAAAGCCGGGGTGTTCATCACTGGCCTGGGCTCACCTCACTTTCCTCCAACATAGTGTCCCCTTCAAGTTCCTTTATGGGATTTAAGCCTTGGATCTTCATTTCCAAGTATGCTTTGTGTTTTCTGCTTGCCTAAAACCTGTTCCTTTACCTACCCCTATTCTGGAAAACAAGATGTTTCTATCACACCCCATGCCAACCTAGCCTCATCTTGATCCTTGAGCTGTCCTTTGAGTTTGCTTCAAGTCCCTCCCTACAGGATTTGGCCTCAAGGGACAGGAGAACATTAGAAGCAGTTAAGAGTTCCTCCTTGCTCCCAAGTATCACTGTAGAAACATGTCAGGAAGGTCCTATGTCCCACACTCTCTAGCGACAGCAACACAACCTTTCCAAGACTGATTAATCCCACCCAACAGGGAGAAATAGGCTGGGTGAAGCTGGCAGCTGGAGCTTCACAGGGGGATGGAAGGGAAGGGTTAGGGAAAAGGAAAACAGTAGAGCTGGGATATTCTCTAAGGAGCCCCTTGGGTGGGCTGGATAGGGATTAGTTTAGAATGGAGGGTATCTGTGTCCCCGGAGGCAGAGTCGTCCTCCCCCATGGGGGATGGTGGGATCTCCTTAGAAAGGTCCTTGGTATTAGCAACTATTATGACTCCCTCAGGCCCATCAGTGATTGGGCAGATGGTCAGGGGCTTTTTACCACAGGACCACAGGCAGAAGAAGGGCCGGAGGGGACCAGAGAAAGAGTTGTTAGGGAAAGTATAAATATGGGATCCATCAGTCATGTTGTAGAAGGAGATGTCTCCTGACTCATAGTCCAGGAAAATCCCAACCCGGCGGGGGCAGCCTGCCAATGGGAGAGGGGTCCGTTGTGGAGTGAGGGCCCAGTACCCATTTCCATACAACTCCACAGCCCAGAACCCATTCTCAGGGGTCATGGGGTCAAATCCTTTCTTCATCACATTCTCCCTACACACTCCGACTGCCCAGTCAGTCCTGTCTCCCACCTCCACCTCCCAGTAATGCCTCCCTGAGGTGAAGGCCTCACAACCCAACACACAAGGCCAGGAGTCAAATCTCTCTTGTTTCTCAGGCAGTTTCTGACGTGAATCTTCCAGTCGGACAGATTTTGAATCCTCATACAGAAAGAGGTGGGGATGGGCAGTGTCTGGATCCAGAGTCACATTAACTAGAGACACAGGGAAAGTGTTTATGAGCATCAGTGTATGTTAGCAGTTACAAGAACTATCCTTTCTTCTCCAAAGAAATAGACCATTGTTCTAGGATTTGACAGGTCTTCTCAGGAGGAGAGCAGTTTGGCTTGCTCAGCTGTCTCTATTCCCCTCTTTCATCACCAGCCACAGGGTGATATATCAGTTGACTGTCCCCAGTACTTAATAGAACCCTGTCAGAGGGGGCTTGTCTCCTAGCCATCTTCCAAGGACCTCATGTACCTCAAGAAAAATGTGGAGACAATTTGCCATCACCTTTCCCCTGTCTATGCTCATTACTAAAATATGTTAATGCTTTTATTTCCAAGTACTGTAGGCCTTCTGAATCCCTAGGGAATAGGTCCCCAGAGCCCTTGAGAAGTTCAAAACCACTGACCTGCATGCAATGCAGCCTTTTTCCATTCTGCAATGAAAGAGAAAAAGATAGTCATTATTGATAAGTTTTACAATAGAGAGGAAACATTTGAGTGAAATAATGACAAGAATATAGAACTTACTGAACTCTTCCAGGAGTTTCTCTGGAAAACAAACAAATATTTTAATGACCTACTGTAGAGGACAAAACCGGTGTGAGAAACACACAAAGGAGTAACTGTTTAATTCATGACTATCTGATGACTGAAACATTACCAATAAATGAAGAACAAGGATTATGTTTTGTTTTCTAAGAAATATACAGGAAGTTCCTACTGGCGTGGGCTCAAACCTTTAACCATTACTGGGAAACTGAGTTAAAAGTGAGGATAAAATGTAAGGGTGAGTAGTAAACATAAGGTCTAATATCTCAGTTAGAATTGGGTTTGACTTCTCCTGTATCCCAAACCTTTGTTCTTCTTCATATTGGATATCAGTGACTTCAGGAGCCTTGTAGTGCTGTCTAACTTTCAGAACCCTAGAATCAAATATTTTCTTAACTGGCAATCATCCTAAAGGACTTGGATCCAACCCTTCTTGGAAACTACTTGGAATCCAAGTAGCTGGATTCTGTGACTTACCTTTAGAGTTGAATTCATCCTTCCTCTGTCTGGATCTTTCCTTATATAGTCTCCAAGTGAAAAATATGGACCCAATTGTGAGAAGTCCTAGGACCATCAGGATGACAGCCACAGTTACCATCCAGGGAGTCAGCTTTAGGAAGAAGGGAGCTAAAACAAAATCCCCAAGAAGGACATTTGTTGAGAAACTGAGCAAGTTCAGCTCTTTTCCTGATTCCATTGCTCCCATGGCAAAAATAGTCTCTCCAATGCTACTCCAAGCTTTTCAGAAAAATTTTAATCTTAGATAGGAGAGAGCAGAGAAAGAGGAATGAAAGTGAACAGGAGTCATTTCAGGACAGGACCTATGCAATAAGGGATATAATGGACCAATTATATTACTACAGAAATTTCTCCTTAACTATCAATGCAGGATAGGAGCCAAGGGGATACGGGAAGTAAATAAGGAAAGGGAAATATCACCTTTGCGTGCAACAGAATTTGACTTTATGGCTAAAGAATAAGGAAAGATTCCTGCCTGAAGCCAGAGGTACTGTGTGGGGAGAATAATGAGAAGATTTGCTGTCCTGAGGACCATAGGAACCTACATAGAGCTCTGGCATGGGATATGGAGGAGAGAATGTTAAGGGTGGAAACTGAACTAACTTAGTCTTATTGTAACTCAAAAAGGGAAGACTCTGGGTCAGGAAGGTCTCTAGGGGCAAAGCTTCTCTAACTAAGATATACCTCCTCAGATGTAAAATCTGGAATTTCTATAAGATCTAGGTAGAGTTTATGACTTCAGAGTCTTTACTCTTCTGGGAAGTTGGTGGGTTTCCCTCAAGTCAGTGGGCAGGAACTTAGTTGTGAAAAGTAGACAACTCTGTCCTGAGGTTATGGCTAAGCCATGGGTGTCCCAGGTGATGTGGCTCTGAAACTATGTCAAATAGGAACCTAGGACTGGTTTCACTGACCTGGTATGGAAATATCTACTTCTTTCTCTTGGCCAAGAAGGATGTTCTGGATACAGCAGGACACATTCCTTGTGGAGGTATCCCTGATAATCACAGAAGCTGCCACAGTGAACAGGCCTTCTACATCCGGATTCCTAGACTCTGATGTGGATGGAAACTTCTCTCCTGGAGTTTTCCACTGCACCTGGGGCTCTGGGTACCATCCCACAGAGGTACACTCCAGCCAAATCTCTCCACTCTCTTTTACTTCCATATGGATATGAGGATCAGAGCCTAAAGCTGTGGAGAGAGAAGCTAGCCTTACTCTTTTAGTGGACACTCTTCTGGAAACCTTATAACCATAGGGTTTCATAGTTTCAGAAAGAGAAGCACAAGGGAACTGGGAATGAGAGGAACTCACCTCCATGTTTCATTGCACAAGGAAACTGAGGTATTGATAAAAGAAAATTTCATACATCTTATCAGAGACAGATGCTGTATTAGGACTTAGTATTTGAAATGTGGGCAGAAGTTTGATGAGCAGACATTCAGTGCTAGTTCAGCCGACAGGGACAAAAAAACCAATGGCATATAGGTAGGTTAGTGATCTAAACTGGGAGCTCCAGAGATGGGAGAGAGCTCTGTGGTTGAAAGTATTACAAGAAGGCTTTGGGGTAGAGGAGAACTAGTATTTGGGTATTTTAAGGATGAAATGAGATGGAATATCTTTGAGGAAAAGGGGGATTGGAGGTTCTTTGTACTGCAACTGTAGCTGACAACTGAAGTTTCTTTTTAGGAATTTTCTTAAGTGGATTCAAACTCATCTTCCCACTACACCATTACATCCTAACATAAATCAACATAAAGCTATTTTTCCTTTCTGCCTAGTTATTTTCTTACAATTCTATAGTGTACAGAAAAACACCAAGCTGCAGAGAGGAGTCCTTAAACACATATCCATAACTTTTGGTTTAAATCCATACTCCAAGTTTACATGTATATGTGAGAAAGTATATTTTCTTCATGAAAAAGACTGCCACTTTCAGCAGATTCTCAAAGGTGTGTATCACTCCTAAAAGATAACATGACAGTTTTATGCTATCAGATCTCTAGGTTTTATAATCAATGTTTAAGATACTACCCTAAAAAAGAAATGCAGTTCTATATGGTGCTGCCATACAAGGCACCCTGTTATGAAGCAGGGACCCAGATTTCACCCATGTATTTTTCAAACTTCACCTTTATTAGAATATATTCATGAAAGGCAATATATCTGTATTATACACCTTGCAGAACAGTCTAAGGCACAGTAATAAAATCTTGTAAGTATATAATGCTTCTCAAATTGACAAAACAATTTCTCATATAGTATCTAATTTTATTTCATCCTTAGAGAATCTTGTTTGACAGATGTTTCCCCAGTTTTACACTGGAAATAAGGCTCCAAAAGAGATTTGTTTAATATCATCCACTAGTAAATGGGAAAGTCAGACCCCAATGCATACTTTCCTCCTGAGTGCTTACTGTTTTCCTTATCGTTTCACCCTGTATTTTGGCTTGAAACCAAAAAAAGAAACAAGACAAAACTTTCTCTAGGTGGATCAAGAATGTTAACATACAGCCATGCTCTTTGATCTTCGGATATCAGTTCTTGGGTGCTAATCCATAAAGCAGCCTCAAAGCATACAATGGGGATGATCACCACAGCCTTATTGTAATGGGGAAAAACAGATACAACTAAAATGTTCGGTTCGGGAACTTGATCAAGTAAATTATGATGTACCAATTGAAAAGGCTGCTATCCAGCCATTATACCTTACATTTATTTAATTAATAACATGGGGGAAATGCTTAACCTAGAATTGAAAGGAAAGGACATAAATCAAAGAAAGCTCTACAAGAAAGACAATTCGCCACTCTCTTCCACTCAATTCAAGCCCCCTTCCTACTCATCTCCCACTCTAGGCCTGCCAACCCCTTCCCATCTAAAAGGGATTTGGGGAGTGAATCTAATTGTTTCCAAAGGAACAGATCCATAGGAAAATATATCCTGCATAGGAGTCACTGGAGAAAGTCAAAACCCGTTTACTCACCAGTCACCTTTAAATGCACTATGGCCTCTTCGTAGTTTTCGTCCTGCCTGAAAAAGCATCGGTACTCCCCATCATCAGAGGCTTTGACTCCGTGTATCCTTACAGCGACGCGCCCCTCTGCTATATGGTCCGCCACCAGCGTTGCTCTCCCTCGGTACTCAGCCAGCTGCTCTCCGTCCTGCTCCCGGCCGTTCCTGTGTACCAGCACGGCGGGCGATTCCTTCTTCCGGAACCACCGCAGCTCCATGCGCTCCGCACTCACGTTGGGAGAGAGGTGACAGGGCAGCTCGGCATCGTCACCCACAACAGCCAGGATGGGCTCCGGGGGTCCGATCACGTCAAAGTGAGCTGCCAAAAAAACAGCTGAGTCAAAGAGGACGTGGAGAGCCCTCTTTCTTTTGTTCCTGCACCAGCCCGGGGAGTCCATGGGACCCTAGTGGAGGTCACTAGGGAGGACCACTTGGGATTGTTGATTTACTGAGAAATTTCAACCATGCAGGCCAGAGAGACAGAGACAGAGACAGAGGGAAAACCTACCTGAATCCAGTGTGGGCAGCTGGAGAAGAATGAGGAGGATCAGATACCTGGGGAGGCAGGAGTTTGGAAAAACCTCCATTTCCAACCTTTCAAGCAGCAGCAAGACACTGGTGTACTCCAGTGTGTCAGGAACTTCCGCCTAGGAGATGAATGGCTGAGAACCATGGCTTCTCTAGACACTGCTCTTCCCAGCCTCCAAACAGTTCTTTCCATCTTGGAATGCACCGGTCCTTTGCACCTGGCGCCTGCTCCTCACCTCATCTCCAGGGCAGACTCAGTCTGTGCTGCCATCAACGCCAGCACACCCACAACCGTAGGTTTGGTCAAGCATGTGCAAAACAACAAAATGGGCCCTAACCCCACCCAGCAAGACTTGGGATGGGTTGCATATAAATGAACAATATAAATGAACAAATCTTGGAACCACTACCCTAAAAAAACACTTCTTTGAAATACAATAATTTGGTATTTGTTTTTGGCGATGATAATACAGATAAAGCAATGGAGACAGAGGGGAACAAACTGTAGGAGAAAAGAGGACAAATTGAGAGGAGATGGGATAAGAAAGGTGAGCTGAAGAGAGCTATAGGGCTTGCAGAGTTGGCCTAGGACTTAGAGGGGAAGAAGCCAGAGGGAAGAAAAATGCCCTCTTGCTGCTCACTCTCTCAGGGGTAGGAAAGTACTCAGACACTGACCTGGGGTCCTGGAGGAAGAGGCACTAACCAGCCTGTGCTACCAAGTGAGAGCTGGTTAAGGCCCTAGGGGCAAAAGTTACAGGACAGCTGGAGAAGGAAGAGGGAAGTGCTCTCAGGAAAGCCTGCCCCCAGGTCCCTACTGCATTTACTTTGGAAAAAAAGCTTTCCAGAGAGGGGAAGTTGTCTGGGGATTTGTGGTCTTCAGCTCAGAGATCAGGATATACATTGATGAGCTGGACTAACTATAAGGAGATAGAGTGAAAAAGGAAGCACGTCAAGACAACACTAAAATGAGATGTAATGCCTTGGACCACTAAGTTGACCTCTTTTATTTCAGTTCTTTTATTTCTAAAGCCTCAGTTCTTTTATTTCTCAAATGGGAATATTGTTAATAATACCTTCTTTGGAGAGGTATTGGGAGGATTAAATGAGATTAAGCATGTAAAGTGCTTAACATATAGTAGGGACTTAGAAGAGAGTAAATTGCTATTCTGTTATTTATGTGGATTGAAGAATTAAAGGTGGGCTGGGAATGCATGTGTTTGATTTAGTTTTCAGGGCCCCAAAGTTGCCTTCCTGTCAAAGTTACATCCCTGAAAGCAATTCATGAAGACTGCAAGTTCTTATTTTGGGTTAAATCTCTTATTGTTATGAAAAAATAAAAAATACTAAAAGAAAATTTTTAAGTAAGAATCACCCATTAATGTCACCAACTAGTGATGACTTCTATTCACATTTTGGCAAAATTGATGGGGCTTTTGCATAATTTGAAACATTGTTAATAGCTACATAACAACATATTGTAGATTCCTGTAATTCTCAAGACTGTAGGACATCATGGGTTTGTTTTTGTTTTTTTACCTAGTACAAATAATATACTTTATACATGAGTCTTTGTCTACATCTTTGATAACTTCCTGATAAACTGTCTGGTAAATTCCCAGAAACATAGTCATCAGGTCGCAGTGTTTGAGAAATTGCCAAAGGTCCTTCCTGAAATGTTAACCTGTCACAACATCAGTGGAAATGTCCTTCTCACCTAATTCCAGCCAGCATTAAGGGCTCTTATTTCTCATCATCAATAATAGGATGGGTGAAAATGATCAAATTATTATTTTACTATGCATTTATATGATAGTGAATCTGATCACTTTTCATAGTAACCATTTACTATAGTGTGGAGGTGAGCTGTTCAGGCCAATTGCCCATTTTTTTCCTAGCCAAATTCTGATGCTTCTTTTACCAATATGGATGAACTTTTTAGAAATCAAAAATGTCAACTGTATTATTTAGAAGGAGATGTAGATGCTTCAACCTACAATAGCCTTTTAGACCTCCAGAGACTAATGCTTGTCTCCCCTCTTCCTAGAGAATTCTGCTTCTTGGTATCTGCATGACAAACACATGTTTTTGCCTCAAAAACTTATTTAAGGGCAACCTCTTCTGGAAGCAAGCAGATACAGCTTCATTGGAGAGCCTCTCTTTTGTTCACTTATGGTACCTCACTGTGAATGGATGTCAAGTACCTTTAACAGAGGGACTTTAGGAAGGAGCTTCCCCGCACTGCCAACTCAGGTGAGAAACACTTTTGAAGTCTTAGGTCTTATCTATAAATTTAAACTAAATTCAAACCTTTCACTTCATTTACATGAAATGTGTTTAAATATGATTCTGGATAGCCTCTGCCCTCTCCAAGTGAAGTTGACTCTCCAGGATGTGGGCTAGGTATATTCTGTGACATGTAAAACTTCCTGGTCCCTCTCTTCTGGCACACACCTGACCTGACTCTTATTTTAAGAAGCAGATGTGTTTATTTTTGTCTTTTGTTTGCGAGTCTATTTTCCTCTCCTAAACTGAGATCTTTGAGTTCATACTCTCTGATCTCTTATCAGCATATAGGCCAAAATAGAATCTGTAGTTGAAATCAAGCCAACCAGTTCTTGGCCTTCCTAATTTGAAATGCTCCTGCCTCATTCTCAACTCCCCTTTGTGTCTGACTTTAAAAAATATTGCCTGTAAATAATTGATTTCCTCCCTTCAACCCTCTCTGAATAGACTTCTGTCCTCTGCCCACATTGTCAAAAAATCTCACAGGAAAACATTTTTTTTTAAAGAGCCTGCACCCAAAGGAGCTAGACTGAAAAGAAAGGGGCAGGGGAAACAGAAAGCAAATGGTATGTAAATCTCAAGCTGTTGTGTGGCAGCCACAGTTTTGATTCAGTAACATTTGAGTCATTGCAACAGAAACCAACAGTCTTGAGCAACCCAAGGCAGGATTTCTGAGTTTTTCAAGGCTCAGTCAAGGAACAGAGACTCTAGATGCCCCTGCCTCTCATGGCTTCCATTTTTTATGAGATGATGCCTTTGTGATGTGGGATGCTATGAAGGAGTCCCTGCTTGTTCTCAGGCTCACTGGAGAATAGGAACATAAAGTATCTTCTCAGACATGAAGATCATTTGAGCTGAGGAATGTAATGTGCTGCACATGAGAGTAAATCTAATGGCAAAGCGTCAGGGCTTCCCCCTCCTCCCTTTCACCACACTCTGTTCTACAATCTTCAAGGATTGTAGACTAGTCAAATCTAGTGATTACTCTCAAACTCATTTTACTTGACTTTCAATCAACATTTTACTAAGGGAACTATTTGCTCCTTTTCTTTTTAAACTTAGTGTTTATTCTTTCAAAGCAATCCAAAGAGGTTTTAAACATCCAAATAAAAGAGCCTTTCAGAAAAGCATTAGTCCCACTGCCTTATCCCTTCTCATTCCCCAGAAAACAGCCTCTTCAAATGCTTGGTTATTTTATCTGGTATTTATATAGATATTTCTCAAGATAATTACATATTTATGTTGCTATTTCTTGATTTATCTATTTTAGATATTACTTTTCAATGCCCTATCAATTAAATCAATGATGATTTAATTCTTGTGATAGTTAAGTTTACATGTCAACTTATCTGGGCTCAGGAATGCCCAGACAGCTTACAAAATATTATTTCTGGATGTGTCTGTTATGATGTTTCTGGATGGGATTTAGTACTTGAATTGGGAGACTGAATAAAGCAGATTGCCCTCACCAATGTAGGTGGGCATTATCCAATCCACTGAGGGCCTGAATAGAACAAAAAGGCAGCAGAAGAAGGGCAGATTTGCTCTCTGCTTGAACTGGGACACCTATCTTCTCCTACCCCCAGAAACATCAGTGCTCTTGCTTCTCTGGCATTTGGACTCTGTGCAGGACTTACTGCTCAGTTTCCCTGGTTCTTGGGCCTCTGAGTTTGGATTGGAACTACACTACCAGCTTTCCTGGGCTGCCAGCTTACAGAGGACTTCTCTGCCTCCATAATTCCATGAGCCAATCTCTCATAATAAATCTCCTGTGTGTCTATATATATCCTATTGGTTATCTTTCTCTGGAGAACCCTGATACAGTTCTTTTATATCACCAATAGAAATGTATCAATTTTTTTCAATGTTTCCAATGCTATAGTTATGTACCTACAATTTTATGGAGCCAAGTACCATATATGACTACACTTACTTTCCTCTACAACTTACTGTGTTTTTCAGGAATGCGGAAGAGAGTTAATGGCTCCCCTTATTTCCTTTGTCTATTTTCTGTATTCCCATCACACAATTTTACCACTCCTCTAACAGCCTCTAAGGACAGTTTCCACAGGTAAACACATCAGATAATTAGTGCTATTATATCCCCTCCTAGTGCAGATCCCTCCCAAAGCAGCACTTCTCTAACTTAAGTGAGCATATGCTTCACTGAGGGTCTCATTTTAAAAAGAGATTCTGATTTAGTAGGTCTCAACTAAACTTTTCCCTGCTGGCTGATGTTGGTCTATAGAAGCTTTATCCTGCTCTTATCAGAAGCTACAGGTGAAGAGGCAGCTGCCAGTTGACAGGTATTATGGACATGTCCTTGAGGAATGGCTCTGGTTCAGGGTCTGGGGCTTGTTTCTTCTGCATGTAGTTAACCCAAGCTAAGACAAAGGGTGTCACTTATAGCACTGTACTCTGTGGCTTGCTACGGAGTTATGTGGTCAGCTGCTCTTTCTGGGGGTACATACTGTTGACATGCTGGTAATAATCAGATATGACTAATGATAAGTTGAGATTATAATATTGACATAATTCCCCTACTCACCAAGCCCGCATTAAATTTATGTTCATTGTAGCACAACAGAGTTTACATATGTGAAGGGTAGGTAGAAAGGAAGTGGAGAGGCCTGGAGAAGGGGATGAATTCTGTGTAGAAGAGGGTCTAGGAGGGGTGGAGGGAGATTAAACATGCCCCAGGGAGCAAGAGGCTAAGGTTTGATTAAGTGGTGACATCTCTGAGTCATATTCCTGGAAATGCTTTGAAGTTGAGAGTTCTCTTTTTTTTTTTTTTTGAGAGGGCATCTCTAATATTTATTGATCAAATGGTTGTTAACAATAAAATTCTGTATAGGGGGGTCTGCTCAATGCACAATCATTAATCCATCTCAAGCCTAGTTCTCGTCAGTCTCCAATCTTCTGAAGCATAACGAACAAGTTCTTACATAGTGAATAAGTTCTTACATGGTGAACAGTACAAGGGCATTCATCACAGAAACTTTCGGTTCTGATCACGCATTATGAACTATAAACAATCAGGTCAAATATGAATATTCGTTTGAGTTTTATACTTGATTTATATGTGGATCCCACATTTCTCCCTTTAT